TCTCAGACTCTGATCTAGAACCATCTCTGCCTGAAGATCAGCAGTGGTTTTCCTTCTGTCTCTGGTCCTTCAAGTCTTGAGGTGTCGACATCTGCTTCAGTGAACTTTGTCAGAATCAGTCTCGTTAACGAACTCCAGATCTTAGCTGACCACACTGTGAGAACTCTTTCTGTCTTTCCCTGTGTGTCTCAGAGACCTTCCAGCATCATGAAGAGCTTTGATGTGACTCTTTCATTTTCAGTGAGCTCTCCATGTTTCACCATTTTAAACAGGAACCAGGAATTTCAGACTGTATTCACCTTTTATACCCAGATCTTAGCCACTGGGCTTCTCTGAGAAGTCAGAAATGAAGCAAGCAGAACATTCAACCACTACGACTAAATATTCTGTTCAGGAATGAAAGTAAATAACTACAATCTGACAGAATCAAGTGTTTTACTCTTTTTTTTGTAAAACAGTAAATTTTAAAATTCATAGTTAACAATAATGATTATATTTTAGCAATAAAAACATCGTTTTAGTTTAAAATGGTGTATGAACCATTACAGAAACATAAATGATGTTGGTAGTTACCAGTGCTGTTAATTTAAGGTGGCTGTGGCATAAACCTGACACTGGGTGGTGCTCTGATAGATCTGTTCAGCGCCGCAATAAAGACAGCTGGGAGAGGAATCAACTATGGGTAATTTTGGAGGGACACATTAGACAGCGATCTCCACTAGAGATCACCAAATAATTGAATTAAATAACTTCATTAATCGGAGAAAAGTAAGAGCGAGGTCATGTGACTTCTATGTTTAAGACTGGTATACCAAATTCATCACGACTACTTTGTTGTCATGTAATCTGTATAAATGATATGTTTTTGTATTTTTATTTAACCAACACTCGGTGTGTTTCCATCCACCTGCTTATGTGGGTATTTTTAATTTAAGTGGCATATCACATCAGGTTGTACACTTGGCTGAAGTGGATTAAAAGTGTAAATAAACTTAGTAAATGTGTGTAGCGTTGTGTCCTCTCCAACCTCACCGTCACTTCTTGTGGGAATCTGGAGGAGCCGCAATAAATGACCTGCCGAGGAAATCATCATCATAACCCGAAGCCTGATTCTGAGCTCTCCTTCAGACACAAGGTTTTGGTTTTAGAGCTTCTGTGTGCTCATTTTATTTCAACTTCATTTCATTGGAAAGCACTTTGTAACGTGTTTTGAACAGTGCTCTATAAATAAAGTTTATTATTATATACTATTATTATTCTAAAGAGGACATTAGTGTTCCTTCCCACTGACCCCGAATGCTTGCTCAAAGGAAGTCCAGAGGACGCTGTGGGTTTGTTGGGTTCCTCTGTTTTCTCAGGTCTTTACTACATGAAGTGCTGTGAGACGACATGCGCTGTTCACTGGCTCTATAAAAATAAACTTACATTGAATTGAATGAAGCAATCAAGGTGCAACAACATGTGTCTTCTGCAATTTATTAAAGTTTAACAAAGGATAAGAAAGCAGAGACACACGTTTCAGCTGAAAGGACAGAGTTCATATACGAGGATCACGTCTGAGCAACAATCACAGAAGATCATAAAAGTCATGGTGGCCTTTGTCCTTCAAACTACAGAGTTTTAGCTTTCTCATGAAGATAACAGGAAGTCCTCGGCTGAGGAATGCAGACGGAGCAGAGTGCAATCAGGCAGCAGCGTGATCAAGATAACCATGGATTCTGCCTCATCAGCCAATTAGAGACGAGAACATGGGATCAGAAGAACCCGCACAAAAAAGGAACTCTAAAACCAGACCAGTACTAAACCCTGACCCTCTATGAGACCAGTACTAAACCCTGACCCTCTATGAGA